TTTTAACGCTGCCTTATCGACAATCGCACCACAGAAATTAATATTGGAAAATGACTGGTCTTTAATGAAATTCACATCCTTCCTGTGACCCACGGGCATTCGTGGCAATAAGGCGTTGTAGTTAACGTAGCGAGATTACACCCTGCATTTTCATGCTTCGAGTCCCGCTTGGAGTGTTGCTAGGCCCTAGGTGAGGCCCAAACTGCAGTCCTTCCTGAAAGAGAACAATTTTATTAAAGTAAGGATATGTGAAATTCAATGGATACGTCAGCGCTATTCATATCATTTTGGGAAAATTCAATTACCACTCCTTCATCACAATAAACAAAATAGAGCGAAAACATCTCATATAACTGAGTTTCTGATAGTATCGAAATCTTATTTACAGACGACGTATAGTGAAATCAGTTCTTAATTAAATGCCAAAATAATTGGCGGGAAAAAAATACGATTAAGGTAAGGTGGACAAATAATTGGTGGGCCTATTCGACAAGTCGAATATTTTAGGTTATTATTATGGTTCGCTAGAAGTCTATATTAATTCTACAGAATTACTCATGGAAGTTTCCAAACCAACAGTTTATAGGCGCCTACTCCTGAGAGCAATGTTGTTCATATTTTAACTTTAAACTTATATTAGCCTTGTTTTGGCATTTTCGGAGTTGTCTTATAGTATCAGTTAATCTGAGGATATAGACAGATACTCTGGACAATAGGGGGGCAACTCATGATACCCCTCTAAAGATTCCTCGTGTTATCTACACTTTATTAAGTACGCTGCATAAAGAGGTAGGCAAAAGGCTAAATGGCTTTTGTTATAATGGCGAGTTTTTGTTGAATCTAACAATTAACGAATTCGTCAATCCTCGGGTTTATTGATGTCTATAGGCTGTTCTTGAGCCTTGGCTATTGAGTAAAATGTCATTGGCCATGAAAAATAATTTCGTGCAAATTAGCAAAGGCTTTACTCTTTTTTCATTCTTTGTCAGATGCTTGTTGTTCAATACCCTATAATGTTATAGTCTAGTTTCTGAGCAAGGTCACACTTCAATTTCAAGTTAAATTTTACGTTCCCTTCTAAAGTCCTACTATTCCCTTACCATCCATTAAATGGAAAAATAAACATTTAAGTATTTTTCAACATATTATATTTAGATAATGTGAGTCTAATAGAGTATTTCCAATATCTATTACAA